CTGTAGGCCCATCATGGGTATTAAAGTTAGCAAAATTGCAGTCGCTTGTAAGTAAAATTTTAAACACAAGTTTGAATCAAGTAATACAGCTTATACATATAAAAGTAAGAAAACAATTTAAGAACCTATTTAAGAACCTTTTTGAGGCCTAATTTTTCAGTAAGCACCAATTTACATAAGAACATATTGATGGCTAATACTTGGATAAAATCTATGTTCTTATACGCGGGTTTTTACTGTATATGGTTTTTCTCCATTTATTCTTCATTGGCGTCCTCGTGGGTTTTCTTGGTCTTTTCAATTTACTCGATAAATGTAACATAAGACGTTTGATTTTTCGAGCATCAAAATTACAGCAAACCAAATTCGATTGGCATAAAATATTAGCAGCAACAAAGAAATATGCGTGTTGCACGTGAATGATTCTCTGGCAAATCCTTACAATGGCCTATAGCTGGCAGCATCTACATATAACCATAGCAGGCACCTAGTTTGGTACAACAACAACAACAACAAACAACAACAACAACACAACAACAAACAATAATATATTATCGAGAGTGTGAATAAAAAACAAACGTTTGTTTTGATCCTATAATGATCGCACATAGATGCAATCATTCACATGTGTTATTATGTTTCATTCGCCCAGGCAGTAACTTTTGTACTATATGTATTGTCGTCGCAATAACAAAACCACCAAATATAATAATAGTTACCCACACTACGTGGCAAAACAGCTACATTATATATATATATATATATATATATAATATCATATCAAGTCTTGATATTATATATATATAATATAAATTGGCGAATCGCTCGGCGCAACAAAGTTCGTAACGCTATCCGGCCGCGCAACGTGGCAAGCGTATTAGTTCACGCCGTCGAACAAGGCACGCTCGCAAGGTATTTTGCGCGGATGCGCGAACTGAGACTGTCTGCACGCGGAGCGCTTACTAATGAGCGCGTTCTAGCAAAGCCAAAGTCAGCCTGCCACGCGCGTGCGGGCCACTATTTATAGGCAACCGTTTCTAGGAAGTGCGCGCGTTTCAGCGGAATTTCTCTGCCGAATTTGGCTATAAAGTCTCGCGGCGTGTAGCCGTGTCTCCCGCCGCCCTATATACTCAGCAGAGGCGCGGAGGTTTCACGGCTGGTCTCTTCTTGCTCGAGCGATGTTTTCGCGCGCGAGAGGAGAGAAGAGAGAGAGAGAGACGAGAGAGAGACAGAAGAGAGAGAGAGCGAGAGGAGAGAGAGAGAGATAGACTAGAAGAGAGAGAGAGCAATTGACATGAGTTACTATGTGCAAGCTCTCGCTGCTCTGTGTTAGTTCGAGCGAAAGCGCAGTAAAAATTATGTTCTAGTGACGGCGCCTGGCATTC